ACACACAAGGAGAGGTCTGAAGCTGTGAAATGGTTCATAACCTGTGCTGTAGGTACAACAAGAAAGTGGGATGGGACAGGATGGAAGGAAATTGGTTGAACTGTTTTCAGAGCTCAACCAAAAAAATGCTTAAAGAAAGCCTGGCTTTAGGGTATTTTCTGCTGTGAGTCAGAATACTGAGAGGCTGTGGTTGCACATGTAGTTTTACTTACTATCATGTTAAAAAGTTACTGCCTTAAACAGTCAAACTGGTACAAGTTTGCTTTAATGGTTCAGCAAACTCTACGCCAGATCAATTATTAACTGTTGTCTCACAGATGACATAAAGCTGGCTTAGAGTATGTGTTATGTGCTCATATATGTACAGAAATGCAACCATGCACTTATTTTACTTAGGCCAACTTTCTCTTAACAGGAGATCTGACAGCTCACAGGTCCAGGATGAATGGATGTGGCCTTGTTAAGCATTGCAATAGCTTGAACAAGTAATGTTGATTTAAACTAGATTTGGTTTACAAGCATATAACCTTTTTATTGCAGTTTGAAATAGTCCTCTGATTTAGACTGTCCTGGTGTGGGATAGCGAATGTGAATTACATCAGTATAAAAAATTCCCAATTAAGACAATCTTATGTCTTATACATAACGCCCGTTACATGCCAGAATACCATAACGGTCTGATGAATAGCCACATTAATATTATTTTTCTGCATATATAAGTGTGGAACAATCAAAGCCTTTTACCTACTGACATCACTATGTACATACAAAAGATTTATGTTTTTCCACATCCTGAGCTAATATAGCTATGACAGTAATGTTTTCTTATATAAATCTAGCTGGAAAGCTCTGACAGACAAATCTGGATGAGCCTTTCTGGGAGAATTTAAAACAAAGGATTAATAGCCTTTGTCAAGGGCTATTAAATCCATGGTCAAAGGCTGGTAACAATCAGAAGGCAACACATACCCATGCCTTTTAAGGCACCTTTGTTAACAAAGGTGAGTTTGCATGGAAGCACTGGGTAGTAAATCACTGCAGTGAGAAGCAGGCACCTTTTCCATTCTGTGGCCTCTGCTATGAAGGAGAATCAACCAGAGTTTGGAGGACAAATGGATACACGAGCATCTTAGCTGCTGACATTTTTATGGACCAGTTTACACGTCAGAGTCTTAAATATATATTTACCAGTCTAATGACCCAAGTGTCTGTTACATTAGCATCACTTCCAGGATTAAGCAAGTCATATAGATTGTACTCCACGGGCTCTTTGTTGCACTCTGGTTATTACAGATTTTAAATGTGCTGTAGCTGAGAAACATATTTCAAGGATAAAAGAAACCATCACATGCTCTGCAACTCTTAGAATATCAAAGCTGATATGATGAGATAGTCAATTAAATTCTTAGCATGAGAGCTAAGTATTGCAGCTCAGTAACATGGAAACACTACAAATTATGGTACCACCTGCTGGAAGTTCATTCTGAGAAGCACTTTTTTACTATGTGATATATACAGCAGCCCACTTTGAAGGAATTCCTGTAAACCTTAAAGAAAGCTGAAACCCATTTTTTTTAATGAAGAACAGATAACACGGCGCTGAAGTTGAGAAAAGCTGTATTTAAAAGTGTGTGTATGTGTGTGTGTGAATCAGGATGTAAGTAACAGACGAGAGGAGGGAAATGACTGAAGAGGTGACAAATGACGCTTGATGAGACAAGATTTTGTGTGAGGCATTGAGCAGTCATGCATGTATACATGCTGCTGCAGCAAAGCAGTTCTTACTCTTTGACTCAGTCGAACAGCTTTATTAATCTGTCTAAGAGACCTCTGAACATGAAAACAAACTGCTTTCTGATTGTGGTCAGAGAACACACATAAAGAATTGCCCCATGGTTTCCTGCTCTTCCTTCCTCATTTCCTTCCTTCCTGCTCTTCTTTATTTCTCTGCTCTTCCAGGATAGAATAGGCATCAATGATGATTTTTTTCCTGATCACTATTCAATACAGAATGAGCAGAAGTATCCCCAGGGCATGCAGGTATTCTCCTGGCATAGTACTTCTGAGGCTATGGCCATTAGACACACGATCTGAATCTTGGGATTGTCCTGTGCAGGGACAGGAGTAGGACTCAACGATCCTTGTGAGTCCCTTCCAACTCACAACATTCTGTGATTTTATGTCTTCTAACATCCTCTGTGATTCTCTCAACTGGAGAAAGACTGTGAGACTTTCTCAGGCCTCCATTCAATCTTTTGTTCTGTTTATTTTTAGCTATGGGTAAAGTAGCTGCCGCTTAACCTTGAGTCTCACTAATGCAAGAATTAGTCATCCATTTGCTTGTGCATAACCTGTAACTATTTCTTTACTCTTGATCTCAAGTTGCATTGGTGCTCCAGAGTTAACACCTTAGGTGAAGGGTGACTTTGGTAAGTAGTTTTTGTGTCATCAATAGCCTGATCAGGATACTTCTGTGTGTCTGCCACTGTGTGCACGGATACACCCAACAGGATAATACTGACATATTTGTTTTAAACATGCACTTAAGACAGAAATTGCACGAATAATAGAGTTTTACACTATCCCTCACAAAATCAAAACAGTCCACCAAAACATGTTACTTTCATCTAATTATTCCATTTCCTAGCTGAAACAAACTGTCATGCCTCTTAGTTAGGCACCTACAAAACATTAATTTACATTTTACCTTGTGCACTTTGAATGCCTGGGATGACTCTCCATCACTTGTCACAATTCCAGCACTCTCCTGGCCCCTATGGACAAAACATAATTAACATAAAGCACTGAAATGCTTAGAATATGAAATGCTTTAACATGCAATGGATTGGTGGTTTTTATCTATTCTTTACAACAGGAATTTTAATGTAGACTTATTTGTTGTTCTATTTTACAGGCTTGTAATTACAACTGGTTTCTTGCCCATGTTATGCTTTATTTCAAAACAGTCACATAAGGTTTGTGCCTAAGCCCACTGAATTCAGTGGGAATCTTTCCACTAATAAGCACTGGCTCAGGCTCTTACTGCAGTCCTATTTCAGTGTAGGCATAAAATAACAGCAGATGCTTAATCTGAAAAGCCACTTTGCAGTGATAGTAGTCTAGGCTGTAGTAGTAGGCTCTATACTGCTACTCTATTTCTGCTTTGGGCTGGGGGGGAGGGTATGCTCAAGCAAAGCAAGTCTGGTGGTTTACAGCATGACAGCAAAAATATGGAAATATTTCTCTTAGAGCAGACCAGCCTCAGGCTGGCAGTTGTGCTTTTTGAGCAGAAGAGTAGTCCCTCGCCTGCTCCCTGTTCTCCCCAGCCCTGCCTGACCATTCCAAGCAGCACCAGCAGGTTCCTGGCCAGAGGTTGGCAGAATACTGCACAGCTGCCTGAAGTTTATAATTCAGTCCTTATCCACTGAAAAGGTATGTTTTGCAGACTGGATTTTTTGTGGGTAACAGTACAGGCTGCTTGACTTTCCTTTAATAGGCTTCCTGGAATAAGGCAGAGTTTTACCTCTAACAAAACTGCCTGTGACATACCCACCATGCCTGTTAGTGCTCAGGGACTTTGGTGCACTGGTAAGCCCTCAGACCACTCTCATATATAATAATGACTGAAAACCAAAAATGTTTTTCTTTAAAAAAGAAGCACTTAGAATATTTTTAGAATATTAGAAGAAGATGCTATTTGTGCATTAGACTGAAGTCACTGCAATTATTTTGTATATGCAACAATAAAATTGGTCACAAAAAAATTCTACAGAACGGATGCTAACCTACAATTGACCATGCTCATTACAAATTTTCTCAAGTTCCTAAAATCCCTTTATTGGTCACTAGCTTCAGTTGCATGTAAAAGAAAATTCTGAAGAACATTACTTGCAGAAAACCAAACCAGACAAACTTCACACACCTCTGAACGAATTGACCCTGTTACTGACACAAATCTTCAAGAGAAAAATCAGAGATGAAGACATTCTTAAACACATTTATTTTAACTCAGGAAGATGTCCCATCTATAAACACAAAGACTGGTAGTAAAACTTACGGTTGACATACTACATTCAGCAACTTGAAATTCCAATGTTAATATTACAGTGTCCATTTAAATTCCACTCCTGTCCCTTTAAACATCAATAAAATCAACGGCAAGAAAGAGGGAAGCAAACATCCTGAAGGAAAGGCCCGTCAAGTCGTTACATTACATCCTTCACGTAGTGCTAATTAAAGAAAAGGAAGCTCAATTTCACTGCCACAAAGCTTATGCAATTTTACCAATCCAGTCAGATTTTTAAGCGTGCAAGCTTTTTATTAAAACATCGCTAACAAGCAATGAATATTAAGACTTTAAAATGTGTACCTATGACCATCAATTCAAACACTACACAGAGAAGCGAATGTACAGCAGGATGACCCCATCCACGTTTCTATCACATCAACCATTGCAATCGTGCCACTGGTGTGGCAGCCCCGGCCCCACGGCGCCCCGCCGCGCCCCCCACGGGCGAGGAGCGGCCGCGGGGCCCAGGGCAGCACGAGTGTGGGGGCGGAGCGGTTTCTTCGTGTTGTTTTTTCTTTTTGTTTCAAAGGAACAAGACAGTGCGACTCTCATTTTTTGCCTCTCCCCTGACACCACAGTGCTCGTACTGAAGCCCTCTGTCCCCAGAAGGG